CCCAATCTGTACTAGTTAGTATGTGAAGTTTATAGTGGTTCTGGGTTTTTCCAGATGACTCTTGGGATAGCTGCTCTTTCCTGAATCATTCAATTTGCTTGTAAAATAAAGTCCAAAATTGTCATCTTTTTATTTTGGGGAATTTAACAGGCCAATGGGGACTGAAATCAAAGTGAGATATTTGCAACTGGTGGATCTCTAATTAGAAAACTAAAACTACACACCAAAAGGACAAGAATCTCTCAAACCTTCCATGTTAAGTTGTTTAGCAACTAAGGCAAAACGTGAGTAACCTTAGACAGAAAAGGGTATAACTATGCTATATCAGACTGAGATCCAGTTGTTAGTTAGACATGAGCAGTCACCATCACCTCACAGAATGGTTGAGGTTGGAAGACACCTCTGGAGATCATATAGTCCAGCCTCGCTACTCAAGCAGGGTCACCTAGAGCAGGTTGCCCAGGCCTGTGTCCGGACAGCTTTTGAATATCTCCAGGGTTGGAGACTCCGCAGTATCTCTGCGCAACCTGTTCCAGTGCTCAATCACCCTCACAGTGAAGAAGTTTTCTCTTAGATTCAGATGGAATTTGCTATTTCCTGCCCGAGACAGAACTTCCTGCCCCTTACCTCCTGTCCTGTCACTAGGCATCTGTGCAAAGTGTCTGGCTCTGTCTTCTTTACACCCCCTATTCAGATATTTACACACATTGATAAAATCCCTCCTGAGCCTTTTCTTCTCCAGGCTAAGCAATTCCAGCTCTCTCAGCCTTTCCTCATGTGATAGCTGCTCCAGTCTCTTAATCTTCTTTGTGGCCCTTTGCCAGACTTGCTCCGGTATGCCGATGTCTTTCTTGTAGTAGGGAGCCCAGAGCTGGGCACAGTACTCCAGATGTGGCCTCACCAGCGCAAAGTAGAGGGGAAGGATCTTCTCCCTCAACCTGCTGGCAACACTCTTCCCAATGTAGCCCAGGATGCCATTGGCTGCCTTCATTTCTGGGCATTGTCTTGCAAGTGTGCAGTCAGTGCGTCTAGGCAGACAAAAGGCTGTGTTACTGTCAAGAGATCTACTGTGTGAAGTGCTTCTCAGGGCGAGCGCTGTATTCCTGACACTTGAGTAAAAAAAATTGTTTAAGGGAATTTCTTAACTATTAGCTATTTGTGTGCATCATGTTTCCCGTGGGCCACATCTCAGACAGAGATTCAACTTTTCTCCTCTGCTAATGTTACTAATTAAGAAACATTTGTGGGGAGGGAAGAATTAACTAAAGTCAATAATGTAAACTACTTCCATAGGCACAGTTATTGATATAAATGGATGATCAGTATTACTAGCTTGAGACACGCAGGCAGACTTTCGATCTGCAACTCAGATCCCAATACTTTAAATATTGGACTATACACCACTGAATTCAAGCATTGCTTGATACATAGTTCTCATGGACTTTAAAGCACTTCCTTAAATTTAAAATATGACATTTAGCAATCTTATTTTTACTATACATAATACATTTTCAATACTTACAAATAAATACTCACAATTACAAGCACTTAATCACATATATACAAAATACTAGTTTACCCAATATAGCAAGTAGATATTTTTACAATGCTAAAACCAATTTAAATTTATTGTAATCTTGTTAAATATTAACTTCATGTTTTAGAATAATACACCTTGCTGAACAGCACATCTGCCTATCTGTCAATACATGAACACGCATTATTATACACATTATACACATGCTAAAATAAAACTTGTTTTTCAGTATCTTAATTTGCTAACTTTCTTTTTTAGAAGGAAGTTGAAGATTTTATTCAAATTTTCAAAGTAGAGAACTATCATCTGCTCCAGAAGACATTCTTAATCCTCACTAAGTTAATCAAAACCAGAGGAGATTACCAAACAAAAAACTATACTTGATTCCTTTGGCATAAATTGCTAACTTGCAGATCTTAGAAGCAAAAATATAAATATATCAGCACCTTTTTTTCTTTTTTGTCTCTTCTGCAAGTGAGAAAGAGACACTGGCCCAGGGAGAGAAGGAAATTCAAGAAGTCGTATGAAAGTGCGCTGTGCAACAAACGGTAAAATTGATCACTAAAAACGTTCCCTTCAGGCATAAAAGTAAAAACACTGCTTATACTGAAAGATCTGTAGCTAATAAACATTATCAGAGGTAAGTAGCTCTGTACTAGTGCTGGAAAAAAGTACTTCTGTGTATGACAACATCAGCAGTGCTGTTCAGAAGTGTTTGCGCTACAGGCTTACCTAAGAGTTTGCAGAGAAATAACATGTTGAAATTGTGTAAGTTGTTCTACAGCCAAGAATCTCCTGTCTGCATTTACTGGTCAGTACTGCAACTGATACTGACACGCTCTGTCAGCACTAGAATTATTTGCAGTATAGACAGGACTAGGGGAAATAATCCCATTTCACTGAGGTATCACTTCAGCAATTAATTTAGACATTTTTTTCTAAAACTAAGTATCAAGTTATTAATAAAATTATCTCTAGTTCCACTATCGGATGCTATTGGGGAGAAGGAGGGCATCCACAGAACCTAACTTTGGACATCTGAAGGTGACAACAGGGAGATTAGTGTCCTTAGATCCCCGTGTAGCTACGGAAAAGAGAGACAACATCATCTTCAAACAGTGATTTGGGGGGGGGGGGAAGTAGCTATCTCCCTCCATACGACAATCAGGGCAATCTATTTCTCGCTCTTGACTAGACAAGGAGTTCGTTTTCTTAGCTGAGGTCCACAAGTTGGGATGGTCACATTTGAAATTGAATACCCTCTGGTCTAAACCACTGGTCTAACCTTGCTAACTTGTATTTACGGAAGTAATCCAAAACAAAATAAATCTATAAGTCTACAACATCTGACCATATAGTAGTCAGTAGGATTATTTACTGTTTAAAAAAGAAAAATGTTTCTTCATAGGCAATATGTTTGGAGGATAGGCTCAGAGCAAAAACTTATGCTTAATAACTGAAGGCCAGCTTTGTACTGTAAATACTTGCTCCCAAATGAAGATAATATACTCTGTTTCTGCAAAATACCATAACCCACCCACCTGTCTAAATACAGACTTACTCTGTAGCTGCCAGATAATTTATACACGATGTCCTTAAAACAACAACAAAAAATAGAGACAAGTTACCCAAACAGTCTAATAACGCTGTTCTTGTAGGTCAGACAACTCTCCAAAGAACAGGCTTTCTCCCTCCCCTAACTTGAATGCCCCATGCAAAGCTGTTCCCTTTACTTGGATGCTTATGTGTATAACCAGCCACCTGTTCCCACTGGCAATAGCAACTGATTTGCTGTCCCGTTACAGTCTTCAAACCTTGCCACACCGACATTTGTTCCTTGCAAAGAAAGAAATGGAAGATGTTAGCTTCCTAATCTTGTAGATGGTGCAAAGGCCTGCTATGATCTTTAGCAAATAAATCTTGGAATCTGTTAAAGATCTTCCAGCAGCTTTGCATCCAAGTTATCTCCCCCCAATTTTTTATTCTATCTGTATTTTGCAACCTATTCTTTGCCTTCAGTCCTGTAGTGTGAGCCTCTCCATGTTTTTTGCCTTCTATTTTTGTTTTTTACATCTGTACATCGTGCCACATCAGGAGCTGCAGGGTTACATTGATTGTGACATCATGAATCGTGCAAATCTTTTGAGTAATTTTTAAGCCCAAATTGCTGGGGTCGTCCTCATGACAGTAACCAAGCTCTGAGAGTCCTTTAACAATTTGCCTTTTCCTTTCTCAGCCTTTCACGGGATGCCATCCTTCCTTTGGCAACACTGCGAAGGAGGCACTCCCCAGTCATACAGGTAAGAAAGCCTGAGCTTAACCTCCTCCTTACAGAGCTTCCCTTCTTTAGCAAGGGTCTGATGCTTTTCCAGCATGTCTTCGATGCTTTGCTTATGAGTTACTATGTACTTATTGTTGCAACCTCGTGACTTATATTCAGTATCAAAACGAGGGTCGTGCACTCTCTTCACATCAATGGGAGCTAGCCAGACCCCCAGGGAGACATCTTCACTCTGCCACATGTTCAAGTAGTCTCGGCTGAGACGCAAGTAGTGCACCAGATCTGCAGAAAGCACGTAACCACCGCCCAGGGCATATGGTAGATAGTAGTCACAGAGGACCCAAGCACTCTCTTTCCATTTGCCACCAGCTTTCACTCGACCACGGCCAGAAAAAAAGCCCCAATAGAGGCGATGCGACTCCTTGGCCCTCAGCTCTTCCACAAGCACATCCAAGCGTACAAAGGTATCATCGTCAGCCTTCAGGGCAAACTGGAAATCCACGTGCAGATCCAGCCACACATATGTGGCCAGGACTTTGGCAGTCAGGTTCTCATAGGAGTCCCGCAGTTCTGGCAGAAGGAGGAGGTCTCGGTGACGGCTCTGCTCTAGCTCCAGGCTACGAAGCTCCTCTGCCCCAAGCCCACCTGTGCCAATCACAAAGCGACTCCAGATGTCTTCGTGAGGAGGGCGCCCGGCGGCCGATAGCCACGTGCTGCGGATGATGCTGCGGCGCTCAGTGTATTTGGGGCCGCTCGTGATGAGCACGGCCAGGAAGGCCGTCTCCTCAGGGGGCGGCGGTGGGGCTGCGGGAGGCTGCAGCCCCCTGGCACCCCGCAGCGGTGGGGGTGGAGGCTGGTTGGGAGGGGGCCCCCGC